TTCATGATTCTTGTTTTTTTCTGTCGCTTTACTTACACATCAAGATTACCTCCAAGCGAGTGCCTTTCCAACGGTTAAGTAGGAGTTGAACCACTTTTTTTCTTGAATTTTTGTTAACATTCAGTTATAATACGCTCTGAAGTAGTCGTAATTATTTAATTAGTGTAACAGCGGTTCCATTTGTTTTTTAAAATATACAAAAAAGGATTCAGTTTTATCGGGTGTTAACCAACACAACAGACTATGAAAGATTCTATGTTTTTCTGATTTGCTCGGTTTCACCGTTTTTCTCATAAATAAACTGTAAGATTTTGTGAGTCTCTCTCTGGTACCCTTTGAAAGTAGCCAGAAGTAAAAGCAAAGTTCGAGAAGAAAAAGCTGACATCCATTGAGTGAAGGACATCTCCTAACTTATTAGGTACCAGCTTGTCTATACAATGGTATTGTTAAATTCTTTATAATCAACTGCTAATCTGTTGTAACCTTAATTTTTTCTCAACGAGTAATGATGGGGATACCCAGTTTGAGTGAATTGGTTCAATTAGGCCGCTTTTTTCCGCTTTTGAAAGTTTTTACTTCCGTATCCACGCCGAAATTGTTTCACATCAGCGTTTAATTCGATTTAAAGTTTGATTCTATCCCAAACTTCAAAATCTGCTAAGCTGCGTAAGAAGAACTGGCTAAGTCTATCAAACCTCATCTATAATTTCGGCTTTCCATCTAATTATAATCGTGCACGCCCAGCGTAGCCTATTTGGCTGATTGAAAGGGCTCCTGATACTGCGGTCGTTCCTTGTTTCTAAAAAGTACGTTGACTTGAATCTGATTTCTTCAATCGGTGTTTTGAGCAATTTTGCATGGTTAACATGAAAAATTTCCTTTTGTGTACTCAGCACCTTCAAGAAAACTGTTTTTTATCAGTCAATTAACTGCAAGTAGTCCGGTTTGTTATTTGAGCTCCTCTATGTCTTTGGTTAAACGTTCTTGCTATTGAGGATGGTACCATTTTCATCCTTCATGACAGTTTTTACTAACTTTTGATATCTGCTGTGGATTTCTGCATTTCTCGTTGCTATTGCAAAATTTTGGACAACGGTAGCTGTTTGTGCTGATTTAGGTAGCACTGTCTAATCTTTTTACTGTACAGCACCTGTTCGCCAATCTTTAGAAAACGTTCTAGCTCGCTCAAGAAATCCAAAACAAGAATGCAAGGTAGCAGTTATCTTCCGTTATCAAAAAACCCTGAGCAAACCATTCGGGTTCGGGTTTCATTTTGATTTTGATGCGCACATTGCCAACTATTTTCAACATCGAAAAATTGGCAGCGAGTACTTTACTAAAAACAAATTTTATGCTTCCCGTTTTTCCAAGCCATTCATATGTGTCGAAGCAAATGCTATTCCTGCTGTTTAACAGCCACGGTACCAAGTTTCCGTTCAAATGTAACTTCACACTGAAACGTTAGAATTTGATAGCGGAGGAAACCTTGATGTCCTTGGTGTGGTTTGTCTCTTTTTTCAACAGCACTGTCTCCTAAATTGGTTGACTTTCGCCAAGTAAAATAATTGCGGCAATTTTACGCCCAATGACTCTTTTGTCCCTATGGTCGACGTTTTCCCTCGGGTAGATTAATTGACCTGCATGTGGTGAATCCCCTAGAGAGAATATCGTTGCACTCGGTGATCCACTATGTCTTGAGACTCGTCTGGGTACGCATTCAGCGCTAAATACTGCAATTCTGATATCGAAAAATCTTGAGAAGAATTGAAATAAAATATATCTTGAAATAATAAAATATATCCTGAAATATTGTGTATCGAATAATATTGACAGGAACTTTTACCACCTGCCAAGTTTTTGGTTTTTGTGTGTTTTACCACCTGCCAAGAGTCTATGTTTTTCTGGTTGTCCCGGGTTTCCCTGTCTTTGGCATAAATATCGCTAATTTAAGCTGAGCAAGGTTCTAGATCTCCGGTTCTTTTTTTGTCAAAAATCTCAAATAATTATTAAATAATCAGTTCTCAGACACCATGATTTAGCAATGACCTTCGCCAAACTAGTTCAGAACATGACCTTGACAATTTTCGAACAAGGAATTTTTCAATTCCCTACACTAAGTTTGTTTTTGGCCAATGTTACAGATGGACCCATTTCTGAAGAAATTTGAAGAAGGTATCATAAATGAGCTTTTGATCGAAAAAAAACAGAGAAAAGTTTGGTGAAACTTTCTACACTAGGTTAAGGTTAACAAGTGAGCAAAACGCCAAGCTTCATGGCGGGGCTAAAAGTCTCAGAAAAGACATACCACTCACACTAGTCCTAATCTTACTTTGCAGTTCTTAGGAGAAACTGAACAGGAGCTTAGTTGAACTTTGTAATAGTCTCGAGGGCTCCAACATGGAAATGAACTCATTACAGCAATTGCAATTAGCTCGGTTTGGCGATCTATTTGTCAATATCAGTGTTTTAAATAAATTCTGAAAACTCCTGCATAACATTGCAAGAAAACCAATCTACAAAACCTTAAAGGTTTTTTCTATATTCAGGGATAATTGCGAACAAACATCAAAATTTGGTGGGTATGCAAATATTCGTTTCACGAAAATATCGTTCAACTGTAAGGGTACAAAATCCATAAGTGAGGAAACCCTTCTTTGTCTTAAAGTTATAGCGGCTAGCTCTGGAGTCATCGCTGGAGTGCGGACGGTCAAGAGGGCAAAACCTTGAATAATCCGATCGCCAATAAAATTAGCTGCAAACTGCAAAAGCTTTTCTTATAAAATCATGAATTTTCAAAGAAAAACGCAAACTTTAAAAATTTATCATTTTTTTTGCTAAATTTTTGTGCACATCAAAGGCCAGTTAAAAAGTGATTGTTTTTGTTCTGGTGAACATCTAATTTGAGCCATTGAAGCTGCCTTATTTGAATTGGCATTTATAGCTCTTGCCGCACACTCAAAGTACTACAAAGCTGGTAAAAAATCCTCATAAGAAATTTGTTCGTATTTTTAAAGCAAAAATGTGCTGAAAATGGATTGGTTAGATTTAGAATGCACGAAAAAAAAACGAAATTAAAATTTTTTCTAGCTTGCCGAAGCAAAAATTCAAAAAAATTTGCAAAAATATTGTCTTAGTCATGATCAATTAGGTAGAGTGTTTAAAAATGAACAGGAAAACTTTTCGCATTTATGCTACTCTTTTCTCAGCTCAATCGAGCGAATCATTTTTCTCATTCGAAGATCCATTTCCATCAATTCCAGAACTACTGCTCTGCGTAATTCATTCAATGAAATGATCACACAGGACTTTAAAATAGCCAATCACTTGAACTATGTTTTTTTTCAAATTTGGGGGAATATTTTAGCCCTGCCTAACCTCAATTATTAAATCCAGGAACTTCTGAATTACCAATGTTTAAGTTTTGGCACATAACAGTGAAGCCATGTTATGATATGATGCAAAAAATAAACATCCGAAAACCTCTAGGACCTTGTACTGTTCCTGCTTGGGCAATATTTGATGGTGAATCAATAATTATTCAACACTTAACGTTTGTTATTAATGCCTGCATATATAAGGATGTTTTTCCGACTGAACTGAAAAAAGTAGTATGACTCCATTATTCAAAAAAAAAATCCACTAGATCCTCATCCCTATCGACTAATTTTAAAAACCTGGGCATTTTTAAAAATTTCGAAATTATTCGAATGAAATTGATTCCAAAAAATTGTTCATGAGGCTTTGTTGGATCTTTTAAAAGCTTTTGACTCTAATTCTCATAATATTCTAGTTGGAAAGTTACGCTATCTTGGCTTTTAACAGAAGCTAATACATTAATTGAAGTTTTTGAATGACTCATAAAGAGTCATATTGAATGGAAGTTTTTTGCATTGTTTGAAATCAAAGAAGGTGTGCCACAAGAAACAGTACTGGGTCCGTTGTTGTTCAATTTATATTTTAATGATTTTCAAAGACGTATCTGCTATGAATGTAATTTGGCACAGCATGCAGACAATTGCAAGGCGTATGCGTCGTTTATAATTTCAAGTGATGCACTGAGTCAATTATAAAAATCCTTACACGAGCTTACTTCCTTTTCTGCTGAGAAATTGTTAAATCTAAATGCGTCAAAATCGAGTTTTTAACTTTTCTATCAAAAAAATGATAAACAGAAATTGGAATCAGACCGTCTTGTTATCAATGATCATTTTGTAGAGAAAAAATCTGAATGCAAAAACTTAGGTTTTATTCTAGATTCTAATCTTTCATTTCGAACTCAAAAAAAACGCAAAGAAACGGCTCAAGGAATTGAGACCATAGATACAATTCGACAAATAATGTCCGCAATGTCTTTGATTGCCTTGCTTCACTGTTTAGTTTTTTGTCCCTTGCCCGATTATATTCTAGGCCCTTGTTGAACTCGTCCTTCATATTGGTGGTTATAGATTTTTTTAGTGTGAGGGTTTATATTTAACTGAATTTTGAATTGCATTGGTAAGCACCATACATACTTCGCTATGTTTTACAAAAACACTTACAAACTGAAATACATTATTATGTGACAATTTACTCACATTTATTGTTAAACAAGTTTTAGATTGTTTTATTGATTTAATAATTGTTCATCTTGAGAGCAATAGCAGTGGATTTGAGCTCGTCTGTTTTCTCCTTGATCTTCTGCAGCTGTTGTGCATTCAGAGTCTGTTTACCCTCTCCCACCTTGCCCGATCTGATGAAATTGGGCACCCCGGGAATGTCCACGTTTTTCTTCATGTGCTCAAACCCACTCACCTGCAAGAAATAAACCCCAATGCAGGTATTATACCCTAGATAGCTATGCTTCATAATGATACCCAATGCTTCATAGGTAATACAAACTGTCAACAAACTTGCACCCAATTTTCTTGTCGAAGTTCTGTATAAAAAGAATGACCGAACATCTAGTATTACGAAAATAACGATATTATCTGGCTGGGATCGGAAAAGTTCACCGGCTGCCAATAGAAGATACCAGAATTTGTCTTGCCTCTCGCAAATTTTAACCCCCCCCCCCCGTACTCTAACTCTATTCATTCAGGAGAGCCAATAAATTAGACAACGTCCATTCAGTAAACTACTTTTAACTACTCTGATTCGTAATGCTAACCTGTGCCATTTCCTTCACCTCTTCGCTGGACACTGTCTTCCCGATGAAGCCAGCTAGTTTCTCTATCTCTCCCTCCAAGTCTGCTTTCATGGTCTCGTAGTTGAGAAAATGCACTTTGGCCCCTGGGTACTTCTCCAACGCTTTAGCCCAGTCTCGATACCTGAAGTTTACTTTTCATCAAGATTTTGAAAAATTATTCTATTAAATAGTGTCATCTATACCTACAGGGTTTTTTACGAAATATATTTCATCAATTTCATCATTTCTCACAGTGGTTAGAAGTATTAAGATTCTGCGTCTGAAGCATGCTAAACTGATTTTCATGAAAAGTGTGATTTGTATCTTGACTATCATTTTCTGAACCTTCTGATGATATTATATGACGTTTTTCTTAAAGCTTCGGAACACGGATTTTTATAATGAGAGTGATTTTAAAAAATTTGATTCGAATTGATTAGAACCCTCACTATTTTTCAGTATCACGCAATATTTGCATCTCGCTGAAAAAATCTTCAAATAAATTCAGACTGATTCTGATAAACGATCGATAAAAAAATTTAATTGATAGAACTAGAGCTTTAGTACAATAATTTTAGTACCAATTGAAGTATCCGCCGTATGTGTGTTGGTCTGAAAGGAATGCCTCCAGCATGGCGTCCAGACTTCCATTGTACTGGATCCACACTATGTTTCTGTAGAAGTGGTAGTGACTCACCAGGGTGTCGGCAGGGTCACGCTGGATGAAGATCATCTTCGCACCTGTTTATGAAGAAGATGACTACCATTTATTCACAAGGGAAAGGACCATTATACGAGCTGTTAGTTCTATACGGATATATCGCTATTGTGCTCCTGCTTTGAAACAACATGCAATTTTCCGGCTGGGTATTGTTGACTCGAATCCGCAGGCAACGAGTACGGATCATGGCGGGTCTCTAAGTACCCATCCTTCGATTGAGAGAAAAAGATACAATTTAGAGACACTTTAGAGGAAAAGTTACAAAGCAAAACAAAATACATTTAAATAACAAGGATACGATAGCCAGTTGCGGTGCAAGTAGCACAGAAAGTTCATTAAACCAGATACATTAAAAAACAAAAAATAAATAGTTTAACTTCAACAAAAAATCGGGCCGATTTGTGTTCGTGGTGTGATGAGAGGAACTGGAAAAAATTATTATGTGTGGTACCTGATTTTGCATGGTCAAAAAGTAAAAACAAAAATATAGTAAAATACACTCGAAGATAAAGCTCCTCCCCACTTTCAGTAGTCGAAACAAAAAGTCTACATAAAACTGTTTTCTTTGAAAAACTTGCTTCAAGTTGAGATTAATCAGCCGAGGAATTTTTGCAAGAGGTTTCCTCTAAAATATTTTAGACTGATTTTAGAATGAACTTTTCCTTGTCACTATGATTTTTTCCAACAAAAGTTGTGAGTCAAAATCCAGCTGACTTCTTGAAACTCTGGAAGAAAATCTTAACTCTTTTACGATATAACTATAAGTATTTTAAAAGGAAAATGGGAACTGGTACACAACCGCATCATTACTAGTCGAAATCGTACTTGCCTTTGCTCAGAATATCCGGCAGCAAACTAGCCGGCAGATGACTCTTGATGAACCTCGGTCTGGCCTGTGTCTGTGCCAGTTGCAGTCCATCATAGGCGGGACAGTCTGGGTGTTCTGGCTGAGTAAAGTCGAGGAAAGGGAATCTGGCTTCGACGTCTATAGTTGAGGCTACTGCAACTCCTTCGAGGAGACAAGCGAGGATTTTCTCAGTCCAGGTGGTTCCTACCAAAAAATGATTAAACTCAGAGACGGATTGGGTTGGTGGAGATAGGTTCACCTTTCAACGGTTACTCGGTTCGTTTTCGATGAACTCACCCTTGGCGCCAAAAACAGTAATTTTAAAAGAAGAGTGGCAAAAAGTCGAAGAAGTTTTTTTGTCGAATACTTTCAAAACAGTTTACAAAAATCAAAAATTTCGAAATTGTGATTGACCTATGAAGAAGGTAGTCAAAAAATTTCCTCTCCCTGGTAGAAATAGATTGCTGTGACATTATAGATTACCATACCAACCAGTTCTGGGGTAGCTCACAATAAAAGTGTCATCTTCGTACACTTCCATATATGGTATCTTCTGGATGCTCTGCTTGTCCACAAAGTCCTCCAACACCACCCCCTTGTACTTGTAGCAGTCTTTGATCACACAGACGTCGTTACTAACACTGAGGAAGTCAACTGATGACTCATTTTTTTTCTCATCGGATGATGAACCAGTCACGTGATCAGACATTGTGGGCTTCTGATTCTCCCTTCTGGGTGTTCTGGTTTATACCTTCAACAAAAACGAAAATGGACTCGCGTTCTTGAAAAAATAACTGAGGGAAAAAACAGAATTTAAATTGTATTTCAATTAAATTTGCACTGAAAAAAGAGATCCGAAAGTTTTCATTTCTAATTTTTTTTGGGCATATGCATCGGACAATGGTCAAAATATATAGAAAAATTTGTTCCAAAGACATTTTTTTCTGATGAAACATCTCTAAAATATAGTTTTCCTCGCGGATAAAAATGGATATTAGAAATCGCTATTTCTCAAGTCTAAGAGGAACACCAAATTTGGTCAAATTTCACGAATCTCCTTAGAAACGTTTCCGTGATCTGGTCTGCATTTTGTAAAATTTTTGACCGCGCCGATGACAGAAACAACTCCGTCATACTTTAAGGATTAATTTCAAATCTAACCTCCAAAGTAATTGATTGCGCGTCGATTCTTACCTTTTATCCCTCGTGGCAACTGTTCCACCTAATTTTTAACACCTCGTTTTTCGCTTCGAAATGAAAGCAGAGGCTTAGGAACTTCAGAATCAGTAAGAGCTGGAGAACTAAGCATAGTAATCTCTAATATTATGCGTAGAACCGCATTAAGAGCTTCTCTCAGATAAAAACGTGTTTGATAGAACGGCGATGTTTGTTCATTGTTATTCAACTTTTCTCAAACTCAGCTGATAGCAAGGTAACTCTCAGCATATGAAGCATATGATTTGAATAATTCATTGATACCTCAAAAAAGTAAACCACTTTTGAAGAGTTTTGCTAATAAGAAATACAAACTATTTGGCAATATTTTTTCGGATCATAAAATTTTTTAATAAGACTCGAAGCAGGAAAATCAATTTTTGGGACATTTAAGGCCTGAAGCCTATCATACACGAACTTCGTGTCAAAACAACCAAACGTTTTTATTGTCAAAAAAGATATTCGGTTCTGAAAGGAAAAATCCTAACAATTCAAACACTAAATATTTCAATTTGCCTGAAATTTTATTTTATGAGTGTAACAAATTGTTTTTTTTGTCCATTCTTTTCGTTCAATTTGATGTTCTGCCAATCTAACAAACAAAAACTGTCATAGAACAAATATGAACTAGATCATGGTAAGAAAACACAAAACGAAAAGAGGGAAATGGAATGGTAAACGAACCGTGCTAAGACTGAAATGCAAGTAAATTTTAGAACTGAGAATTAGTTATTGCCGTTATAACTGTAAAAATTACCATGTACAAGCTTGGTCCACGAGATTTATACCAATTGTAAAAAATACAGCACATCAGCAGATCGAAAGTGTTTTTAGCCGATACAATCAGTCGCAACGGCCTTCCCTTCCGAGGTTTCTCCTCCCTGGTTGGTATCCACGTGTTAGTTCCAGATTTTTGCAGCCGATAAAAATGGCATCTCTTTTGACACCCAAGGATATATCCGCGAGCTACGCGAGCACGAAGGCTATATTTTCGGATTGGTTGAAGAATTGGCGCAAACGCTGGATCCTCCCCTCTAAACATCCCGCTGATATGAGTTTAGCGACATCATTTATGTGTTCGGAATATGATACTAACAGTTGTCTATGATATGCACAGAATTCTTTTAGTGAATAGTTAGCAAGCTAACAAAGCTCAGATGCTTCTAGGATGCATATCATATGCCTTATGATCCAAAACTTATATCTTTCAACATCATTCCTTGAATATTTAAGTATCACATCGAGCAATTTTTTTTGGGCTTCAAGTCTGGTATGAAAATTATTTGAACTTTAATTTCAGACCTTATATATTTTGGCATAAAACTCGTCTAAATTCAAGACTACCCCGACTATTGCGCGGCGATAAAGCCAGAGCTATAAAAAGTCTCGCCAGACTATGTCATAAGGGCCATGGAACACAAAATTTGGCACTAACTTGAAAGTTAGAGCATTAGTCTCGGACCTTGACTCTCGCAATTTAATAAGTTTTGTTTTAAGGATCTGAATAAATAGTCTTAGAATTGAACTGTTTCCAATACATAAACAAGACTGCTCGTTTATCAGATCATGACTGCCCCGTAGAGCCAATGAAAAACTTTTTGAGTAAAAAATGACTGGAAAACTTTCTGATTAACAAAATCGATGTTAAAGATTTTGGTTTAAAAAGTTGAGAAAAAAACGTATGCTTTTTAAAAATATTTAAAAACTTTTTATATCCCCAGTCGCCATGCAAAAGACAAAAGGATAAATTTAACGTCTTTTATTGCACTAATTAGACCAAATAAATTGCCTCATTGTTCGAAAAAAAACGGAAAATTATGCTCGGTGTGGTTTTCTTTTATTTAATCATTTTTCAACGATCGAAAAAATAGTTTTGAACAAAAGTTTTTTATAACCCAATAAAGATATCGATTTCCTGAGCTCAAATGAAAAAAAAATTCACCTCCGATAATTTTTTGTAAAGCTTTGGGGGTTTGAAAATTGGCAAGTTTTCCATGTTCTGGACTAAATTATGCGCGCTTTGAAAAATTTATTCATAATGGTGAGAGTGTAACGCGAATTGCTTACGCGTGGTAAAATATCCCGCACAGCAAAATTGTTTCCAATTGAATTGAGGCCAGCTAGTGGTCTGAATAGTTTCGTACGACTCAAAATGTTACACTTTGCTATATCAAAATCTATTGGTTTTCAATATTTTCTTTTCCCAAAATCTATTTGATTTGAAATAAAGGACAAGCGGAACATTCAGCGCTTTGCCCTAATATAGGAGCAGTCTTGTGGTTCTGACTTTTGTAGCGAAAGTAACAAAATATTTGTGCTCGGGTTGGGTTTTTTCTTCAGACAAATTTCGACTTTTTAACTAGCCATTTTTGACGGAATTTTTAAAATATCATTCGAAAGGTATTGCTGTCCTGAGCTCAAATTTGAAAAGATATTTCACCTGTGATCATTTTTCGTGAAGTTACGGGAGTTTAAAGATTGACATTTTGGCCATTTTGGGACAATTAACGCGCGATATATTTTGCGCTACTAACGCGTAAGCGGAAATTTAATCCGTCTTAAAAATCGTTCCAAATTGGTAAAAGGAAGTGTTTTTGCCGAAATTTATTGGTTAATGGGAGCAAAATCCACCACTTTGTAATTTATATGGCGTGTGGTGGATGATTTTCACAAAAATCTCAACTTAATGAAAATAATTTTTTTCTACATTTAATTTGTTTCTTGTTATTACTGCTCAATAGACCTTAAAAAGCAGTCGGAACATTCAGGGCTTTGCCCTGATACGAGCAGTCTTGTTGTTCCGACTTTCGATACGAAAGTAACGGAATATTTGTGCTCGGGGTGGGTTTTTTTTTCTTCAGACAAATTTCGACTTTTTAACTAGCCATTTTTGACGGAATTTTTTTAATCAATCAAAAGGTATTGTTGTACGGAGCTTAAATTTGAAAAGATATTTCACCTGTGATCATTTTTCGTGAAGTTATGAGGGTTTAAAGATTGTCATTTTGGCCATTTTGACCAATTTGGGACAAATAACGCGCAATATAATTCGCGCTATTAACGCGTAAGCGAGATTTAATCCGTGTTATAAATCGTTCCTAATTGGTTAAACGAAGCTTATTTGCCATAATTGATGTGTTACAAGGAACAAAATCTACCTTTTTGTACTTTATATGGCGTGTGGGGGATGATTTTCAAAAAAATTTTCAAATTAAAAAAAAAAATTCAATTTATTTTATTTCATTTATTTTTCTTTGTGTATTACTGCTGCTCAATAAACCTTAAAAGGCAGTCGGAACATTCAGGGCTTGGCCCTGATACGAGCAGTCTTGTTTCAATTTGGTTTGGTTTATTGCACTGCCCACTCTTCTTATACGAACGCGTTAAATAAATTTCCCAAGTTGGCCAAATTAGCAATTCCAAAACCCCCCAAATTATTCTTGAAGACGATCACATGTAAGTTGTTATTAGTATAAGCTGAAGACAAGCAAACCGTATCCTACAGATGGAAAAAACAAATGTCCTCAAAAAATATTTGGGTACAAGTCAAAATTTGACTGAAAATAGCACCCATCGTTAAAATTCTGTCATTTTCTTCTAAAGTAGGCCCAAAAAAATACAATTGTCAGGTTTTTCTTTTCCAACCATTACTGTTGTTGAACATTTATAAGTTACCTTTACTACCGAACATGTCCAAATTTCAGGGTTCCGCTCAGATACTATGTGCTACCTTTTTTGTAAAAAACGTTTTCAATGTTGAGCCCAATCTTTTTGACTATTCAGGCTCTAATATCACAAACATTTCATAGGAGAATGGATCCGATAAAGGAGCAAGCCCGATGTATGTCGCAATAGTTTCTACCTGGTTTCAGCAATTGATGTCAATTTGTTAAAATCTACTAATCATCCACATTAGTGTTTCTAAAACAGAAGATATTTTTGAAACAATTTTTGACAGACTCAGTTTTCTTATCACTCTGTTCTATATGCACAGCAACAGCAGTAAGACTTCGAGTACCAAAGAAATAGATAGTTTTAAATTTGTGTTCGTTTTTTCCTACACTGAATGTGATTAGTTTTTGGGTGTCTTTCAGTTTTTTCTAAACGTCATTCCGCGCAAAATTGGGACCCTTTCAATTTTGATTCGAACAACAAAAAAAAACGTTTATTAATTTTTCTGTCTCGAGAAAAATTGGTTAAATTTTTTATTTGAGTTCAGCCTGAAAACTTAGTTTTATTTCAGTTAACTTAAATTTTGATCTTTTCAGCGCATTTTAAGTTTTTCATTTTTTTTATGTTTTGAGGAAAATTGGTGTTTATGTACTATTACTATCGAGTATACCATTATTCTAAGCTTTCATTCAGATCCTTTCAACACATAATGTGGCACAATTTTGGGGAAAAAATTGTGCTTTTTTCGACTTTTTTTCCTTATGGTGATCGGAAAATTCTGTGCTACTGACGCAGCAACCGGCTATTCTTGTTTGGAATCTGGTTTATTGTTATTCTACGCAAGTGCAGCATTAGCAATTAAATATATTTTATAAGACAGATTCAAAACTCTTTTAAGAGTGATTGGTTTTGCAAAACCGGTTTTTTTCTGCTATTCTGAAAAACTTGGAATAATAAATGGGTAAACAAATATTTCAACAATTGAAAAGATAGCACCATTTTTTGCTAGATTTAAACATTTCAAGTTTGCTAGTGTGAGTGCAATATGTCACAATGTTCGTGCCTTTTTATGTATACTTTGATAATTGTGGATAAAATTTTCGCATTGAGGCTTTAGCAATTAGAAAAATAGTGTCGAAGCATGATGAGCTGAGTGCGTTAGAAACCGACATCAATTTTTTTTACTAAAGTCAAAAAGCATCAGTCACAGAGCCACTAATTGACCTTATTCTTCAGATTTGTTGTGGAAAACTATATTGAGAAAAGTGAACAAATTACAGTTTTTCATTTTAAACATGGTTTGGACTCACTGTTTTCTTCTTTTTACAGTTATAACTTCATCTTCCGCGGGGGACCCACGAGAAGATTTTCCCCAAAGGCCCGAGCGAAACCTCACATTTTACACATGGATTTTATGCGCAATAGCGAGCGCATATGCTCCGCTACTGAATTTCAAATTTCCTTGTTAAATTGCCTTTCTTAAAATGAAATCGCAAAACATGTCTTCGAAAGCAATTAAAAAATTGTTTACCGATAAAGTTTGCGCCAAAAAATCCCCCTTTTTAATGTCGAGAGCCTCAAATTGAACTAAAATGGTTAAAAGTTTTACTCTAGCTCATCTACCAAAATTTGAAAACCAAAAGCATTGACAGAAAAAGAAGGAAAAAAATTTAACTGTTGCATAAAATTTAGTGAATTTTGATAATTTTAATTTATTCCGTGTATGTACTTAAATATCTTTTTGTTTTTGTCTTTTTATTGCCCAGTGACATTAGTGTATCAAAAATAATTTCGCTCGGCCATCAGAAATGCCTACTTGGAGTACCACCCTTACCTGGTCAACTACTCCTTTGTGGAGGCATACTCCCTCGGTAACCCAGTGGCACCAGTGACCACATTCCTCGGAAGCCGCTACGCTCCTCCGGGCGACGACTGGGAGGAGAGGATGATGGAATGGGAAAATGCTCCCGATGGGTCATACTACACGGCAAGTGTTTGTTTTTTTTTCGCGGCTTAAATCGTTTTTTTTTTAAATTATTTTATTTCCTCAAATGAACTGATATATTTGGTCATTCTTCAATCTTAACAAATTTTCTATGCTTTAATTTTTTAAGTAATCGCTCTCATGAGAAAACATGTGTTAAAAACGGTCCCATTGCTCAAGACTCAACCTCAAGTTACAATAATAGAAAAGGACAACGACAAATGAAAGGTTTTCAAAAGTTGGTTTCGATTGTGGAAGGTCTTGACCATTTGCGGCTTAAGACTATTCTAAAGTATTTCCATAGCTGCTCATTTAGAAACCCGCAGTTTCCTTTCTAAACAATCATTGTACAATATATTTTCCGCACATACAGAAACTGTTTTCTGTTCAGTTCCACGAGTACTCGTACGATGACGAGGGCAATGTGACGTGGGCGATGGTGTACTACGAGAAGACGTGGAGGAAGATCCCCTACATCACCTTCTCCTCCGGCAACGAAGACAGCACAATCACCGCCAGCGTCTACTTCGACAAGCACGACAACCTCACCTCTCAGGTGCAACTCTTGCCCCAGCACCCCTCTCCCTTTATTGGCCCATCAAATTTCAACATATTAATTTTTTTGCAATTCTGGGTTCGCGGCCGTGGTTTTATATCAAGACTATCTCGTTTAAGTTTTGGTGTTTTCAAACATTTCTGACTAAAATTCTTAAAATTAGAAATTTCCAAACTTTCGAGAATGAAATTAAATATTTTCAAACTTTTCTGACAGAGATGCGTCGTTGAATTTTTGGTCACGGAGAGATATTCAGCGCAACTTCGGAATCTATTTTGTTTTCAAAAGGCTAATACTCTTTTCAAAAAATTAATACTCTTGTTATGATCAGTATGGGTTTTTCCCATTAAAAGTGAAACACCAGCCTGGTAACAAAAAGTTATAACAAGGTTTTTGTTTAAGCTTTTGTTATTGAGAATTATAATTTGTTTAATTATGCGGGTCTACTTAACAATCCAACCCCCCCCCCCTCCCATGGTATCTACTGAAGAATCTCCACCGCTATAAATAAATAAAATAAATTAGCACTAGAGCTTATTATTCCGAATTCTAATTTTTGCTGCACTCTGATTGGTCGAAAATTCGACTAACTTTATCTACTTAACAATCTTCCATCCCCTTTGTTGAAAGGGGGAGATTTTTAAGCCGATACCTTTATGCTGCAGTACCTGCTACGTCTGTTCGATGTGTCTGACTCTGACAACGAGGACATCCACCCAATCTTCAATGTGACAGTGGACAGGGCCAATGACTCCAACATAGCAGAGGTGGAGATAGGACCAGTAGAGAAGAACACAGAGTATGTAGTGCAGTACATCGCCATAATCCCAGCTGGCACTGACCGTACGTTATAAATGTCTCAGTTAACTCGGTGACTGGCGGTTGATTGAATATGTACTGCACCACGTACTTTTCTAGTTCAATTTTACAAAGCTTAACCATAAAACGGAGAAATGTTCCAATTTTTGTGCATAAATTTGACTTGCGAAAAAAATATTTTTGTTAAGTAGTTTTCGAACATGTTTGTTGAAGTTTCGAAAACTACAAAACAAGCATTTTTCAGAAGTCAAACTTTGCACAAAAAGTTCGAATATATCTACGTTTTTAAGCTTTATCAAATTGAATTAGAATAGTTCGTGGTGCAGTATCAACCATAGTCAATCAACCGACAGTCACTGAGTTTCAGCCACAAGATCTCTTGGATTTCGCATTTGAGAAAAACTTTATTGAGCCACGTAAAACTTGTTAATTTGATTAATTTAGTCAGAATGTTTCACAGTTAAAATATATCTGAAGATAAAAGAACTTTCCAGGGGCGGATTTAGGGGTGGCAGGGCATGCGCACGCCCCTTTTTTCAGGGATTTGAGCCCTCACCAACCAATGGATCTGCCCTTTGGTATAGTTTTATAACATTCATTTTAGGCCGACTAACCCAAAAGTTGTTCTAAAGGCGCCATTGGCGCCATTATATATTAATTTTGAAGGCCAGAGCGTGCCGAAAAAAACGTAATGTTTCTATGAAAGTTTTCTTAAAAATGCCTACAAACGCCTTTTTTGGCCTGCTTTTTAATAACTTGCCAGCGGCGCAGGAAGTTTGATAAAAAACATGCTTTAGAAGAGCTCAAAAAATCAAATTGCTCGACCTAAAAAAATCTGCAGAATTTTCGAAAAATTTTTGAAAATCCGCCCCCTCCTCGAGAAAAGCCATGATCCGCCTCTAGTTCTTTCATTAATATTAAAAGTTATATGGTTTCATTATTTGCGCGGGTTAGTAGTTCCGACAAAAAAATTGATCGACTTAAAAACTCATTAAGTTGTTTGCCATATAATAAATAGCAGCTGTTGTCGTTCCAGCTCCCCGTCATGTGATGGTGGGTATGCAGTACATCCGATTGTACATTAGAGATGGTTTCTTCATCATTCCCGTCATCTTCCTCGCCCTCGGGCTCCTGGCCGCCATCCCCATTCGAATACACCGGGCTGTGTCCGGAACTAACAAGTAGGTGATATCTTCTGCTATTGTGTTTTGGGTTTAATTTGAAACTCAATTCTTGATTCGGTACCTGCCATTTGCGAGTCTGTTTGTAGTATATTGGACTTTGGGACACTTTTCTAGTTGAATAGAAAAGATTCATTTCCAATTCAATTACTTCTCTATTTAATCTTTTAACTTAACATAGTCTTCAAGTATACCAGTGGTGTTTCATTACTCTCTATTATCAATATATTATATTTTCACAAACATGTAGATTCGAAAAAAAACCATTTGGTTAAACATGCATGCGGCTACTAATTGAATTTAACATAATAAATTGAAAGTCAACAATTACATTGCTATCTAGTAAAAAACGAAGAAATCAGTACTACTATTAAAAACAAAATTGATTGAAAATATAATCTTGGGTATGCATGAAGATCAATATAAAGTAATGGGGAACCAAGAAGCTGCAACGCATAATTTTTTAATCATTGAAGGGATCAAGTGTTTCTTTTCTATTTTGTATTTTGTAAATTAATCTATTTTGAATAAAAACAAGACTGCTCATATCAAGGCGAAGCCCTGAATGTTCCGACTGCCTTTTAAGGTTTATGGAGCAGTAATAACATTAAAAAATTAAATGAAATAAAATGAAACGAATTTTTTTTTCTAAAATTTGAAATTTTTTACAAAAATTATCTCCCCACACGCCATATAAAATTCAAAAGGATAGATTTCATTCCTTGTAACAAATCAATTATGGCAAATAAGCTTCGTTCAACCAATTTGGAACGATTTCTAAGACGGATTAAATCTCCGCTTACGCGTTAATAGCGCGAAGTATATTGCGCGTTAATTGTAATCTTTAAACCCCCATAACTTTATAAAAATGATCACAGGTGACATATTTTTTCAAATTTAAGCTCAGAACAACAATAGTTTTTGAATGATATAAAAAAAATTCCGTCAAAAATGGCTAGTTAAAAAGTCGAAATTTGTCTGAAGAAAAAAAAATCCACCCCGAGCACAAATATTCCGTTACTTTCGTATCAAAAGTCGGAACAAAAACTACAGCCGCATAGTACTGAAAGATTTAGCTAGAATGCACATAGAGTTTCTTCTAAGTTTGGAGTGGTTTTTTTTTCAATGACTAGATTAGAATCTTAACTCGCCCTTCAAATAACTTTCTCAAAAACTTGTATATAGATCTTCATGTTTTTTTTTCAGGAGAAAGTCTTAAGCTTTGCTCTTGCTTCAATTTGATGTTTTCAGGTTTAACTTTTGATTTTTTTAAATTCAGGTCATTTCTTTTGCAAACTCCACTATCAAACAGTGAAGTGTAAGGGTCACTAAAAAAGCAAAGAACGTAGTTCAGATTCTTAAATAGGTCGCAATGAATTTTTTCTCCGTCATGGTCACAAAAGTTATGATTAACTTCTAGTTTCGAAGGTGTAATTGGATCGACTTTCGATACGAAAGTAACGGAATATTTGTGTTCGGGGTGGGTTTTTTTTCTTCTTCAGACAATATTCGACTTTTTAACTAGCCATTTTTGACGGAATTTTTTTATATCATTCAAAAGGTATTATTGTCTTGAGCTTAAATTTGAAAAGATGTTTCACCTATGATCAATTTTCGTAAAGTTATGATGGTTTAAAGATTGCCATTTTGGCCATTTTGACCAATTTGGGACAGTTAACGCGCAATATAATTCGCGCTATTAACGCGTAAGCGAGATTTAGTCCCTCTTATAAATCGTTCCAAATTGGTTGAAAGAAGCACAAGTTCGTACAAGGAACGAAACCTATCTTTTTATATACTTTATATGGCGTGTGGGATGATGATTTTCATTAAAAAATATCAAATTTTAGAAAAAAAAATTTCATTTTATTTTATTTCATTTAATTTTTTTTGATGTATTACTGCTGCTCAATAAACCTTAAAATACAGTCGAAACATTCAGGGCTTCGCCCTGATACGAGCAGCCTTGTTTAGTTTTCAGATTTGTCAGCGAAATAAAAAACTTTACCTTTTGGTCATTTTTTCTCAATATGAGTAATTTTATCAAAAAAAGTCAATGATAATTTGTTCTCGATTTTCAAAGAGCTGTAAAAACATATATTTTTAGATTGGAATTTTGAACTTAAAATTTTGAACATAGTAGCCCAGATTCTTAGCTTCCTAAGAGGAACATTCAGTTCAGCTCTTCAACTTCTTGGTGCTTCAGTAGAAAGTTCCGGCATCAAGAACATCTCTTGAACGAGTTTTGATTGAAGTGTCAAATATCGCCTCAGCAGAAAAAGAATTGCTGATTGCAAAGCAAGTAGCATAGATTATTTAGATTGTTCAGAATTTAAGTCTTACTTGACACTGAGACAGGATTTATTACAGTTTTTCTTCAATTTATTCAAATTAGAACCAATTGCGCTTTCATTGATTACACTTGACTCCTTAAAAGTTTTCGTTGAGGCTTCTAAAAATAAACAAAAAACCCCCTACGCCATATTTATTTCCCGTCTACTCGTGGCTGGGTCAAAGCGAGTTTTTTTTATTTAGCACTGTCAGATATTTTCAAATGGCACGATTATCGATATATCAAAGTTTTTCCTACATTTCAAGAAGCTGGAGTTAAAACAGCAGCATGTTAACGAAAAAAACTTTTTTTTTCAATATTTGAAAATGAAAAATTGTCTTGACTTTGAAAATCAAAAGATGCCTTTGAAATTTTCTCACTTGACTGTAGCTATTTTTTTAAAAACCATTTCATCAAATCTGTTTAATTTTATCATTAAATTCAAAAAATTAGTAATCGTAATTCAAAAAGACTCATTTGTTTTTTTCCAGAGAATCAGTTACCCTTTCCATTTTATTTTTTTTAACGTTCAAATCGAATAAAAACAAAAATAATGATAAATTTTTTCAATCCAGTATTTTCTGCTCAATGTGCTCTCTAATTCATTAAAATTTACATTTTTTAATTGAAAGTTGTGGCAAGGGCTGATTTAAAGAGGTGGGGTTGGGCGATCGCTTTTTCATTAGCGATTCGACCTCCTGACCACCCAAAGGATTCCCTATTTGATGCTATTGGACAACATCCACTTTTGGCCGATCTATATTAAAACTTTTCTAAATGCGCCTTTAGTAACAAGATATGCAAAATAGGGCGAGCACGCGAAAAAAAAACACGATTTTTGGAGGTCAAATCCTTGTGCAAAAGAAACAACATTTTGGGCTCATTTTCAAAACTTCTTGAGAGGGGAGGGGGGCGTACATATTTGAAAAAACTGAAAAATATTTCTGATTTTGATGTTATCATTTTATTGTAAAAAAACTACTTTGGCTATTTTTAAGGACAATCGGATTTTTCAGGGCAGTCTTATTTAAACAGAGTCATTGATGAAACGTACTTAATCAAAACACTATATTGGTATATATTTTTTTTTCAAAATTTAAAAGTTGAAAGAAATTGAACTAAATGCAATTTTTAGCGGTTTTTTATTCCTTGGCCAAATTCACACCATCCATTAGTTTATTGGTATTTATAAAGTATTCTTCGCACAGTGGAGGAAGTCATGGTAACCTTTTATGTGTCTAGGAGCAAGGCAGGGCGTACTCGCACTCGGATGAACAGACAGGGCACTGCCGACAACGAGGACAAAGGAGCAGGTGGCATGTCAGGGGGAGCACGCAAATGGTAACGCTAAAAACGCTAAAAATAGCGTTGCAGCATTTTTTTTAAAAAAAGTTAACGCCGTTTCAGAAGAAAATAAGAATAAGCTTCTTTTTATTGCTAAGAAAAAAGTAAGAATGAGGCTCTAATGTCGACGACAGCGTGATGATTCAAAAAATGTTAAAATTGATGAAGCATTTCAGTTTTTGTTCAAGTGTTGAATTTAGGACCCAAGATTTAATTGAATTGTTAAAGGAAACACGCGCAGATGAGTTGCGGTGTTTTGTTGCCCTTGAAGTTTTTCATTAGATGAGAACCTTGACAGTAATCATCAACTTTCTCTGCTTGTATCCTAAATTAATAACATTCCGCTAAAATTTAGCGCCAACTATTTATGTGGTGGTGAAAAAAAAAATTTCTAATTTTTGTATGCAATTTTCTATTCAAAATGTCGTAGAAATTCTGAAATTTGGGCTCATAATTATGATCAAGGCACCAGTTCAACGACCTGCCTTCGAACCCAGTCGCCACTCACAAGTTCAAAGACTATGTTAAGGAGACCAATGATAAAGACCTCAAGGCAGAGTACAAGGAGTGCAAAGATGTGGGCACCAACGCTTCTGTCAGTTTCGCCCACAAGAACCCAAAGGTACGGTACTTTAAGGCTCCTTGAGACCAAGAACCAATGGGGGTTCAAATTTGAATTTTATGAGATAAAAATTTATGAAACTGTTGTCTCTTTTCTACACAATTTGCCTCCTTTTTCTGTGTTCATCTTTCGTTTTGATTATAGAGAATCATATATGATTTATTACGAACTCATAGATTTACATCGACAATTCATCCATCGAAAATTGCCATTTTAACGAGGACTTTTGATGATTAATTGATGATTCTGCGATGAGATTCGTTGTCAACTCTTATGAAAAACTTATGAAAACGAATGATTTACCGAAGATTCAGCGATGATAACTTCGATTAAAAATCGGGGTTATCCACCTCACCCTCCCACGTCAATTTCCTCCCCTTTCCACACTAACACCCCATTCTTGTCCATGTCAACTATCAACCCCGTCCACCTTCACCCCCTCGCTCCGTCTTCTATTAGTTATAATGATAGTTTAAAATATTATCAGACACAAATAAAAATACATCTGAGCTCAAATACGTCATGTTTTGAATTCAAACCTCTTGAACTTCATTTGGAAAGAGCCCAAATGACTAGGAAGACTGTTGTTCCTCGATAAAAAACGTTTTTTAATGATCTGCTAACCTGATCAGGACAACCGCTACTTGAACATCATCCCCTACAACCACAGCAGAGTGCCCCTCTACCCCCAGTCGGCTGGCCCCATGCCCAAGGACCAGGAGGCGCCCCAGTACATCAATGCCAGCTACGTGCCAGGCGAGAGGTCTCTAAAGGAATTCATCGCCACACAGGTCAGCTGCTTATATCTGAAAAAAAAACTGTGAAATGAATTTTTGCTTCGAAGCAGAAACAATATACAGTATCAATCCCCCAAGAAAACGTCACTATAGTGCAAAGTTGATTGATTTTAATCCAGAAATAAACAAAAAACAAGGATAGTCGGTTGCTGTGCAAATAGCACAGAATTTTCTGACAATATTCATTAAAAAAACCAAAAAAGTGCGTTTTTTGTTTATTTTCTTTAAATTAGTGTTAGTTTTAGTGCGTGGTGTGATTTGAGAACTATACAATTGCGTAGAAACTTAGTGAATTAGACACCGACAACATTTGTCTTAAAAAAGAATTAATTTTTTTTATAGAAAAAACCTTTATTGCCAAGGAAGCACTAGATTATAAACCAAAACACGTTTTTTTTATAGTGTAGAATTAAGTTTTTCTAGACTAAAATACTAAAAGAAAGTCAAATTTTAAGTAGCAATCAATACCCGATCGCTTTACTCGCTCGAAGTCGAAAATTTTGAACCCGTTTTACTCTGCTCTCGGAAAACCCTGAAAAGTTTTTAATGTCATTTGATTCACGACTGAAAGGACTTTAATTTGGTATATCACTCGACCCATTTCGTTGATATTTGTGGTACTTGATTTTGCGTAGAAAACAAAAAAAAACAAAACTACAACACACCCGAATACGAAATTCATCCCCGTTTTCAATGGTCGGAACAATTACAAAAATAAATCGATCCCAAAAAAACGCAACAAAAAGTAATTTGACCGAGTCATAAGCTACGATTTCATTATGTAGTTTGAAAATTTAGGATATTATTGAAGTATTTTGTCTGTTGGCAAATTAAATGATTATTTTGATCAAATAAGTCGCCATGAATAGGCTTTACCTTCTTTTTTTCCGCCTATATGTAGCGACTGTTATTTACTCAAGATAATTGTTTTCATTCCCATCCAGGGTCCCAAGAAGGACACGACTGTCGCCTTCTGGGCCATGGTCATGCAATCTGACTCCACATGCATTGTATGTCTCACCAATCTGCAAGAGAAAGACACTGCTGGAAGGATGAGACCGAAATGTGTGAAGTACTGGCCAGATGCGGGGAAGCCACTGAAGCTGACAAAGTATTTCGTGATCAAGAACGAGGGAGAAGTGAACAAAGGACCTTATGTGGTCAGAAACATCAACTGTATTCAGAGGGGTGAGTTGGTTGCTCATTTCAATTAGTCGCACATCTGATTCACAATCTTACATCATCATCTTAAATCATCAGCTTAACAAAAAAACTGTTAAAACAGATCTCATGATTTGTAATTAAAATTATACAATTGTCTCGTTTTTATTCCATCGCTTGAAAACGTTTCAGACAAGGAGGTGCACGTGAAAATGTTCCACTTCACTGCGTGGCCGGACAAGGGAGTGCCGAAGAAATATGACGAATTCGTCACTTTCCTCGAGGACAGTCGGGAACACGGCAAGCAGAGTGACACGCCCATCATAGTACACTGCTCCGCTGGAGTCGGCAGAACAGGTGTGAGACTTACACGCGAAAGGTTGTTTCAAGTTTCAGACGTTGAATCAAGTTTCAGTTCCTATTTTGAGACATCCATATGTGGCGACGGCCCTAAAGTTTTCGACTTTGGCCCCAAGATATATTAATTTTTTTTTGGGGGGGGGGGGCGACAAAAAAGCGCAATTTTTTGGTCAAAGTTTTCCAAAAAGTGCCTAAAACGCCTTTTTTGGCCTGTTTTTTCAAAATTTTGCATGGGCGCAGAAAATTTTACCGAAACAGGGTCTTTTTAGTGCTTTATGACAGCTCGTAAAATCAATTTGGTCAACCTAAAAAAACTTGAAAATCCGATCCCCTCGAGAAAATCTTAGATCCGCCCTTGGATAGTTGGTTGCTGAGCAAGTAGCATAAAATTTTCTAGCCAAATTCTCATAAAAACAAATTAAAATTTCTTTTATGTTTTTTTTTCGAATTACTGTTGTTTTTCTCATGTGTGGTGTGATGAAATGATCTGAAGAAAAACCTGAAATTTAGGTATACTCGACAGTTACAGTGAAATAGGCAAATCGGGCAAAAGTTTTACGGTCAAAAAATGACTAGAACAAAAACAAAAACTAGTTTTTTTAGTTTTTCAATAAATACGTAGTAAGCCTGCTCGCTTGCCTTAATCGCTCGAAAATAGACTTAACAATCGATAATTACTAGGATCTAGGATTTTCTCGAGGGGGGGGGGCAAATTTCGAAAATTTTGACGACCTTTTTTTAGGTCGAACAAATTGATTTTCCGAGCTGTCCTAAAGCATTATAAAGACACTGTTTTGGCCAAGTCTTCTGCGCACAGGCAAAATTTTGAAAAAACAGGTCAAAAAAAGACGTTTTTGGACAATTTTTGGAAAATTTTGACAATAAAAACTGCTTTTTTTGGCGCGCGCTCCCCCCCAAAATTAAAATTACTATATACTGGCGCCAAAGGCGCCTTTAGAAAAAATTTAGGTTCGGTCGACCAAAAATGGATTTTCTGAAAAGTACCAAAGTGGGGACCCTTTGGGTCGGCAGTGGGTCGAATCAATCCCTGAGGGGAAGGGCGTCCGCCCCCCCCCCTAATTCCGCTATGGCACTTAGGTGCAGTATCTAAAGCACAAGCTTGATTGATCACCATTAGACAATTTCTGTCTGTTTTTAGGCGTCCTGTTAAAAAAAAATTTCTATTTTATCATTTCATTTGAAAATATTCATATTACTATAGTTTGATAACTGCAAAAAAAATCGAATTAATGTTTTATTTTAAATGAGCTGTGTTTGTTTTAGCGATTGATCATTCCTCTTCTATAACGCCATTTTTTAGTATAATTTTGGGTTTTCAAATCCCGTCTAGTATAAGAAATGACCTTTACTTTGAAACAAAAACAAATCATTTCTTTTAATTTTTTTGCTCAATTATAATAAATTTGTTTCAAGTAGTGCAATAATCCAATAATATAGAGATTTTATCACTGATAGAGCACCAACTTGAGCCAGCGCAGAAGGTAATTCAACCTGTGAATTTTCTATTAAATACTGTCTTATATGGACCTGATTGTTTAATCTAAGTAACATTTATACTGAAAAAATATTTAATAATTTTATAGAAAAAGAAAATAAATTCCAAAATCTTTCAGTTCCTTTATTATGCATCAATTGACAGATTTTTAAAGTAGTATTTACTAGCAAAGAAAAGTAGTAAAAAAACACAATTTTCAGACTTGAAAATTGTATTTCATATTATTTGCTTTATTTTAGTTAGTACGACGTTTTTTTTGGTGTAAAATTTCTTTAATAATATTGATATTGAAATTAATTAGAGAATTATATAGAGTCCGTATTCGCACAGATATTAATTTTTTGTTATTTTGCGTTAATTTTTTTTTGTTGTAAGTGATTTTATTCTTCTAGTGGTTTGTCTAATTCTTGTTTTGAAATGAAATTATTTACGTTGTCATTTTCATGTTCTCGTCTTATTATTTTAGAGAGTAATTTCAGCAGTTCGCATACGTGTAATTCATTGTTTGATTTTATAATGATTTTTGAGTACTTTCAAATTTAAAATGGCCGGAAATGTTTGCAGTTATCAAAATAAGGATACTGTTATTAACGTTTCAAATTGCTGAACTAGACATTGGATCTAGAATTTTTTCGAGGGGGGCGATTTTCAAAAAATTTTCGAAAAAATTTGATAAACTCCTCGTTTTTTGGGTCGACCAAATGGATTTATTCCGAGCGTTCCCAAAACAGTATAAAGACTCTATTTTGACCAAAAATTTTGCAGCACAGGCAATTTGTTGAAAAACAGGTCAAAATGCCGGAAACTGTTGGCAAACAATGCGTTTTTTTTTGGCGCTCGTTTTCCTTCAAAATTAGTAAATATTGGCCACAAAGGCGCCTTCAGAAAAATTTTAGGGTTGGTTGGCCTAAAAATGGATGTCAGAAAGCAATACCAAAGGGGGGATTCTTCGATTGGCGAGGGTGTTGAACCCCTGAGGGAGTGGGGGAGGCGTCCGCCCACGCCCCCCCCCCATTCTTGATCCTCCCCTGAATGGAGCCTCTGTTAAGGTTAAAAACTCTGCTCGGATGCTACTTATAGTGCATGCGGTAAATCCATATAACATTTCTAAAAATCAACTGATATCGTGTGTTCTTCTCAGGGTGTTACATCATCCTGTATCGAGTGAAGGACCAGCTGGATAAGAACCCAGCAGAGATAGACATCCAGAGACTGACCTCCGAGTCCAGACACAGCAGGATGGAGATGGTGCAGACATTTCAGGTAGAAAACACCTCATAAATATTAGTCTAGGTTGAAATTTTGAGGTCAAGGACAGAAGGAATGCAAAATAGTTCGGCACCAATGTTTGAGGTGGAAGACGATAGGTCCCGCATGTCAAAAAACACCAAAGAAAAAACAATTCCCTTGTGAAATGCACGAGAGGCTTTTTCTTCTCTGGTTTGCATTTGAGAGTTGGATTGCACCATTGCTAGCTTACGTTTGTCCTCACTATTATTGTTTGTCACATGAAAATGTGCCGAATTGTAAGTGATATGCTTCACGCCCGAAAGCAAAGATCTTCATGAAGCTATAGACGAAAACTTTCCAATATAAATTTCTGAATATAGCGATCAAAGCAGGAAAGTTTTAAATTTTTTTTTATAATTACCGTTACAAAAACGCAAACTTTTTTTTGTCAACTGTATAACAACATGCACTAAGAAACACTGGTTAAAATTATAAGTAAGATAAAATTAAAAGTTAGATTAGAAAGACAAAGTAAGATAAATAAGATAAGATAAAAATTATAACTGGTTAAAGTAAGTTTCCAAGTAAGTACAAACAAATACACTTAAAAGAATGTCAACGGGTTTTAGCCTGTCGAGGATTTTAGCCTGTCAAAGGTATATGAAAAAGATCATATGCTCAAGTGCGGGTGCGGATCTAGGATTTTCTCGAGGGGGGCGGATTTTCAAAAACTTTTCAAAAATTTTGTCGACTATTTTTAAGGTCGACCGAATTGATTTTTTGAGCTCTCCCTAAGCATTGTTTTAACCCTGTTTTTAAAAAGTTTTCAGCGACGCAGGCAGAGTTTTGAAAAAACAGTCCAAAAAGGCGTTGTTAGGCATTTTTTGGAAAAAGTTGACAAAAAAAATTGCGTTTTTTTTGGGCGCGCGCGCCCCCTCAAAAATAGTATTTATTGGCGCCAAAGGCGCCTTTAGAAAATTGTAGGGTCGGTCGGCTAAAAATGGATTTCTTGAAAAGTACCAAAAGGGGGACCCTTTGGGTCGGCAGGGTGTCGAATCCCTGAGGGGAGGGGGAACATCCGCAACCCCCCTAAGTCCGCCCTGCTCAAGTTTTCTCTTTCAATAGACGGAACCAGCTCATTTGTCGTATCATCGTCGTACGCGGAGCTCAACGTAAAACTAAGGTCTATTCAGTGATCAACACTGAATGGCTTTGACTTAAGTTTAGTAACAAAATATATAATTACAGATAACGATATGCGTCCCAAGGTTAGTGTGCAGCGAGGTTAACATTGATTTCTGCACATGCAGTATGTGCTGTAGCACACTCCCCTTGGGACAACTAAATTTTATGTAGCTTACATATAAAATTTAAAATAACTGAGTTTTTGTACTCAGTTTAATCAGTTTTTGATCAGATTTTGGTTTCCTGCAGGTGTTTCGCGTTTCAATTTTCCTCTGGCTTGTCTTGTTTCTCTGCCAATTTGTCTTCAAAGTTTAGGGGGACCCCCCATGAAGCATTCCAGGTGTTTGTATTATCCAGTGCTTCGCTTCGAAATTTTCGTCGAAAAAGATATTTTTCAAGCAATCCGAGTTTCGTCTCCACTGGCTTGTTTACATCAGTTCTGAACGTTGCCAATTTGAGCCGCCTTATTGAGATCTGTTATATCTTGTTGTGATGTAATGAGTTTAACTGAGTGTTTTACAGGGTTTCCATATCGACTGGGACCTTTGTTTTTGTTCTGCCTTTCGCTGCGTCTCACGGTTACGTCGCTTTCGCCTGATTCGTCTGAGAAACCCGGGTGTGCGTTGTTGCCTTCATCGAGATGACAGTTTGTTTATTTCTTCTTGTTCGTCTGCTGTGTCTTTCTGACTTACTGCCGCTGCAGTTTTTTGTTTTCTCGCCTCTTGACACGTTGGTTTTTTGTCCTTTTTCTGGCTCCTTTTGGTTCCGAGCTAATTGCGCTTACTAACACTGGTCCGGCATTGTTGGGTTTGGCCCTCTTTTCTGCCAAATTCAGGCCTCCGTTTACCTCTATGTCTTTAGATGCTACATTTTGTTGGCTATCTTGGTATAGCGCCGCTGCATTCTCTATTTCCGATCTCTTTTGGATTTCAGGCATTTCTTCTGAATCGCTGTTTGTTTTTCTTGTCCCGCCGTCTTTTTTCTTTGATTTTGATTTGGTTTCGTCTCCATGAGGGCTTCTTCTAAATTGATCTTCTTTCGGGCTTTTCTCTCTGAAGTCACTGGTGTCAAAACTTGATTCGGCGATATCGCTCTTTCTGTAAATTGCCCCCGCAGCTGTTTTTACTGTGTGTGGAGTTTACTGTCTTTCACTGTTGTCATTTGCTCCTGATATAGTTTTTCCAATCACTTTTTCTAGTGTATTATTTGGCCGTGGTTCGAGAACCATAATTTCAAAGTCATCTTAGGAATTCTTCTTCTGAACTAGAAAGTTCTTCCGTAGTCTCGTTTACTTGATTCGAGCGGCACATTTTTGCAAAGTGGTTTTGCTTATTGCAGCTTTTGCATGTTTTCCCCATAGCTGGACAACTTTCAAGTGTCCTTTGCCGAATGTTTTGCCACATTTGGTGCATGGTTTTTGGTCGGTTCGGGTTTTTGTGGTTTTGTTGTCATTTCATTTATTTTTGAATTGATCCATATTCGACCTCCTGTAGTTCTGGTTTTTATTCCCCACTGCCATTATTGGATCTTGTTTTGTTTTGATTTGGGGCTCAGAGAACTGGAGAACATTTGAGCTTCCTATTACCAATTTTTGGAACGCTTGTGTTGTTTGCTTGCTTTGTTCACATTTGATAGCTCGTTTGAGTACTTCGTCTGGTGTGAACGTTTCGAACGTTAGGTTATCTTGAAGTGCAGTATTTTTCAATCGGGATATGAATAGATCTCGGACCAGTTCTTCTTCCAATCCACCCATTTTGGCCGTGGCTGCGTGTGCAGTTAGCGCCGCATGGAAAAACTCCAGGATCTCTCCGGATTCTTGTGCTCCAGTGAATAATCTATATCGCTCATACATGATGTTTTTCGTTTTTTCAAATGATATCTTGGCCAATCTCACCATGTTCCTGAACTCAAGTTTTGATGTTTCGATGTGTGGATTTTTCTGCTCGAATTTCTTTCTACCTTCTGTGCCCAGCACCAGGAATAAACGAGACGTAAGCCGTCTCTGGACTTCATTGTAGAACACATTATGTCCGACTTTAGGTCCGCGTTTCCTCCTTTCTTGGTTTTCGAGTATTACTTTGTCTCTCGCTAGTCTATCTCTCGCTTCCCGGTCTGCTACTGCCTGTGCATCTTCGGTTGTTCCCGGAGTTGCTGGAAGAGGCGTTAGTTCATCAATAACTTCTTTTGGTTCTTCTAGTAATATCTCAGGATTCACATTTTCTTTCACCATCACTGCTAGCATAAATTGGTCCAACCAAATTTTAAAATTCCACGGTGCATCCGAACTAGCTGATGTCCAGAAAACTGGGATAACCATGTCCGCTCGGTTTTCCTGTCCCATGAATCCTGCTGGCTGCGCCATGTGGTAAGGTGATGTAATGCTGTAAGCTCAATTGAAAATGTATATAGTTTCAAGAGTTAATTTAGATCCAAAACTAAGTTTTATCTTTCAATAGACGGCTCCGTGAACCAGCTTTTTTGTCGTATCATCGTCGTACGCGGAGCTCAACGTAAAACTAAGGTCTATTCAGTGATCAACACTGAATGTCCTTGACTTAAGTTTAGTAACAATATATATAATTACAGATAACGATATGCGTCCCAAGGTTAGTGTGCAGCGAGGTTAACAATGGTTACTGCACATGCAGTATGTGCTGTACCACACCAATTACGAAAAAGAAAATAGCGCAAAAAAACATGATCAGTTTCTACTTTCCAAAAAATTACCCATTGGCCCAGTTTTCTAAAATTAATTTCAAATAAAAAGCCAGAAAACAAAAAAATTTTAACTTGATATATTTCTCTGTGGAACAATGTTGTAAAAGTTACAATTTTTTCGGCGTCTTTGAGTTTGAATATTTTTTTCCAAATTTACAGTTTTTTTGACTAATTGAGGGCATATATTTTTTCTTTGAAGTTCGAAAGTTTTTTTTGTTTCCTTGCGTTCATTGAAACTTATCCAACTATATATTGGCTATGTTATACGTTTTGATAGATTTTCAAATATTGTTTTCTAACCTAGTCATCAAAATGAGTTCTGATTTCGAAAAAAAACGTGTTATTTTCTGAGCAATACAAATGGCTGCATGCCGTGGTGGCCTTCATGATCAAAAAGTACAAAACGAGGGGAAAACCGAGAGGAGCCGATGGAGACGAGGGAGAGGACGAGGGCCAGGCAGGAGACAAAGACCAGCTGGGAGAAGGGGGAGCGGACAAGGTGAAAACCTTCTGTAGAAGTTCATTGATTGAAACGGATGATTGCCTTATAAAATAAATACAATTGTCAATCCAATTAATTTCTTGTTTAAAAACTGAAATACTTTATTAAAAGAGAGACTATGTATAGGCTAAAAGTTATACCAAAAAGCACATTAAAGCTTTTGTAAGACTATCGAAATTGCCAAACTAATCCAAACATGCCTAGCCGATCTTTCATTTCGACAATTGAAAAATGCACAGAAGCGCCACGAGCAACGCTTTGAAAATGAAAAATTTTTGCCTAATTAAAAATTTTCTTCAATACTTTTTAGGATGGAGACGACAAGGGAGACAAAAAGAAGGGTAAGAAGGAGAAAAAGAGCAAACTGGGCAAAAAGTCCAAGAAGGGGGGCAAGGGGGACGACAAAGACAAAGACAAAGGGGCTGAGGACGACTTCGGGGATGGTGCTAGCAAGGATGGGGAGGACAAGGAAAACAGTGAGATGGTTTTATACTTCTTATCTATGAATTTTCAACCGATAGGTAACATGCTCAGATGAAGGGAAAGCGGGGCTATTCGATCCTACGAAAAGGTTCGCGAAGTTGCGCAATCGATTTAGCGAGAAAACTTGAACAAAATTTCTGTTCAGAAGATGGCTCGGCTGCGCCTGATGACAGCAAAGCAGGAGACGAAACAGCTGCCGGCGACGAAGAGGGATCACAAATGGAAGACGACAAAGACAAAGACAAGGACGAGGATGAAGAGGACAAAAAGAAGAGCGGCGGCTTTTCCGGGGGCTTCGGGAAGGGCAAGAAGAGTGGGGAGGACGGCGATGGAAAGGGGGCTGATGACTTGGATAAGAAAGACGGAGACGATGCAGATGCACCCAAGGACGGCGAGGATGATGCAGGTAGAGCTTTAGGTCCAAAGTCAAAAAAAGTTTCTGTGAAATAATCATCTACTGATATTGAAGAACAGGAAATTAAATCAGTAGATGTAAGAGGAAAGGGAAGAAGGCACCCCCCACAGGAATTGAACAATCACACCAACCAAAGGGTCCCCCATGGTACTGTTTCATGTCGTCAATTTTTGGCCAAAAAATAGTTTTTCGAAAGTTTAAGAAAGTTTTTTTTTGCTTTTTGGTCAAACTTTTCCAAAATGGCCAAAAATTTGAGTGCGGTGCAGAATTTTTTGCCTTTATATTGTTTAAAAAAGGTTAAAAAATCAATTTGGTCGATTAAAAAACAGGTTGACGATAAAAAATCTGCCCTCATGCAAAAATCCGCACATGGGTTAATGAGGAATACCGATTGTGACATCTACTTTTGCTGTATATTGAATAAAGTTATAAGTAAACCTGATGTAGAACTAGTTTTCGTAAAAAACAAAATGTCGAACCATTTTTACTTTAAGAGTTAAACTCAGAACTTCAAAAGAAAAGTTCAACAAAATTAGTAGCAAAAAAATTGAATAAGAAGCATGCTGACGAGAAACTTTATTTCATCTGTTGGTTTGTTACTTTTTTCAAGGAGATGATGGTGGACCTCCGAAGGATGACATTCCGGATGACCTGGATGACGGGACGGAGGGGGCCTCGATGCCAGAGAGTGACGTCGAAGATCCGGCCGAGTTCGAGCGAGAGAAAGACGACGACAAAGAGGGTAACGGTAAGAATGCTATTATTATGTAGTAACTTATGCCATAATTCTTATTACTTAATTATTTATGTCCTAACCTTTTTTTTAAATTGCTTTTTCATGCTATCACTATTTTTTTGCAATAGCTTATGTCATAACTGTTCATGCTAAAAATTATGCCGTAACTTTTTTTTCGAAGTTGCTTTGATCGAAATAAGTGAAATTCGTTGGTAAAACTGTTGTTTATGCAATTGGGATTGCTGTTTTATGATGACTAACAACTTTTTAAGTGAATCAACTTTGCTTAAATAAATAGTCCTTTTCGCACGAAAAAAGCATCTTAGGAGTCGGTATTACTAAAAAACTTAGAATCGGCTTTGGCAAACTCCAGAAGCAATATGATGAAAATTGAAAAAGTTTTGAAGATCGGAATTATTTGGCCCATGTTTCAGATGACCTTGACCAGAACACGATGATGTCACGTGGCTTCACCCCGGAAGAGGAGGATCTGATGGACGAGCAGTCGGCTGACCCGGGAGGGGAAGGGGCAGGGGCCTCGAATGAGATCAGCGCCTTCGAGTCCACCACGAAGCCATCTTTGGGAACATCGGCTGGAGACAAGAAGAAAAGCAGAAAGAGGACCAAGCCATCCAAGAGTTAGTTTTGCAGAAGTTCTTATACCATTTGTTTGCACTCTCCGAACACTCCGTAAACTCATTCTCTTCTCATCATCCAATAATGATTAAGTTAGAGCATGATATACAAGGCGTATTAGTACGTTCTGTATGTTCACGTTCCCTTTTTATTCCTCTCGAGCAATTGCAATAGGGGGGGGGGGGGGGATAGTTAACAAGGTACAAAACTCGTATACTGTTTAATTCTCTCTTTACAGGGGGGATTCGTTACATTCGTTTCAAAGGTACCATAGGGGGCAAATAGTTATTAAGATCAATAAAACTTTCCTGTTAAAGTTTTCAAATACATTTTTCAATTTGAAAAAAATCATTTGAAAATACTTGCACTAGTTAATGAGATCGGAACAACCTAAGTTTCTTTCGCAAAAACCAGGCACGCTTTTTCAATCTTTTTAATAAAAAAGTAATAAAAATTAAATTTCATGTCGAAAAAAATTGTTTCAGTAAAAGAAGAGAAATAACAGATCAAACTGCTACAATTTCTGGCTGGCTGACTGCAGTTTCATGAAAAAAATCACCAAGATGTATTCACTTTGTTTTCATCTTGATTTGCCGTTTTGATGTCAAATAGAAAAGTGTTGCTGATTATCAAATGAAATATTTCTTTACAAATTGATTAATCAAATCTTTATTATCAACTTGCGGGATTAAAGTAGCAGGCTGTCCAAAAAAGCCAAAAAGACTGTTCGTATCAGGGCAAAGTACTGAATGTTATGATTGCCTTTTCAGGTCTATGGAGTAAGCTTCACTTAGAAAAAATTGATGATATTTTCAAAAAAAAAAAATTTCTTCGAGATTTTGTGATGAAAAACAAACCCCCATGTTATATAAAGGACAAAACGACATGCTTTGCATATATCAAAGTTTTAAATAGACCAAAAGCATGTCTCAGTTCAATTTGGAACAATTAATTTACATCTCTACTTTGGATTACATCTCGGCTTACGCGTGTAATAGCACGAAAAATAATGCCCGTTATTTGTCGCAAATTGGCCAATTTTTGCAATCTTTAAAACCTCATCATATTACAGAAAATTGTTCTGAGGTTAAAATGCACCCTGAGCAAAAACTTTCTGTCACTTTCTTCCAAAAACAGATCATTAACAAAATCAAACCAATGGTTTGGACCGTGTTGTTTTTTTGTTGGTTTTAAAAAAAATTTGAAATCGTTCACGCTCAAATACGTTGTTTTAAAGTTTTTTCACTCTACTATCCTGTTAACAAATGAAACCGGGGTTGACCGTCCTACGAAAAATTCCCCTATTATAGAACTTCCTATAAATTTTGTAGGATATTTCCGCTATCGTACAACTTTCCGCTATCGTACAATTTTCCCAAAAATCAAAAAAATTGCCAAAAACATTTCCAATGTGTTTTTATACCATTGGAGGCACTTAGCACAGTGGTAAGGCGTTCACTTTGAAATCGTCAGATCGTGTATTCGATCCCATGCCATGGCAATGATAGTGTGTGAGGACAAGCTCTCACTTGACCTCCAGCTTCAGGTCTACCACAACCTGACCAAATTTGGCTGCAATACTGGTACCACATAAAAGTTCTAGACGCAAAAAAACGGCCTTGAGTCGCAAAAAACAGCTTCGCTGAGCAACATAACAATGTCTGGAATGTGGGGAGATAATACAAATGGACTATCCTCGACAGGACTGTTAAGGCCTACTGATAGCTCTTCTGCGATTCGCCGGAACTACAATTATTTATTATTTTAAAAACAGACAAAAATGTTTCTCATATTTAGGAGTTTAAGAATTTTTAGATTTAAATATGAAGTATGCATTTTAAACAAAACAAGACTGCTCGTATCAGGGCGAAGCCCTGAATGTTCCGACTGCCTTTTAAGGTTTATGGAGCAGTAATAACATTAAAAAATTCAATGCAAAAAAAAAACAAAATCAAAAAAAGTAATTCCAAAATTTGAAATTTTTTATAAAAATTATCCCCCCACACGCCATATAAAGTACAAAGGATAGATTTCGCTCCTTGTAACAAACCAATTATGGCAAATAAGCTCCTTTTAACCAATTTGGAACGATTTCTAAGACGGATTAAGTCCCCGCTTACGCGTTAATAGCGCGAAATATATCGCGCGTTAATTGTCCCAAATTGGCCAAAATGGCAATCTTTAAACCCCCCTAACTTTACAAAAAATGATCACAGGTGAAATATCTTTTCAAATTTGAGCTCAGGACAACAATACCTTTTGAATGATGTAAAAAAAATTCCGTCAAAATTGGCTAGTTAAAAAGTCGAAATTTGTCTGAAGAAAAAAAAAACCCACCCCGAGCACAAATATTCCGTTACTTTCGTATCGAAAGTCGGAACAAAAATCCGAAACAAGAAATTTCATTTTTTTATGCATCTGCGAGTTATACGATTAGCAGTTCGAAATTACTTTGGAGACAAAAAAATCAACTTTGACGAATCATGTTATATAGCTGCGGACATGTTGTATGAGGTTCAGGTATATGTCGAAAAAATTTCCTTCATCAACAAAAAACTAAATCTACGAAGCTAGTGCGTTTTTCAGTTAACTCATGTGGGGAAACAAACACTTTGGCCTACGAGTGTCTGTTATTGTACTCTGCGAATCACTTGAAAATTAAAACTTACGTGAGTCTCATGCTTTTTGTCGCAAAAGCAGTCCATTTAATGACCTAGTATCGAGCAGCAAGATGACCAAAAAAACTAACGTAGTACTTCAAGATTTATGAAATTTCTGTGAATTCCTCAAACTAAAACGTCCCAATTCTGAAATGTGAAGCTTTTAAAGCGTCTTTTGATTTAAATGCAAACCGCTTTCTCTATAAAACATTGCTCTATTAAGGAAGAGCTATTCAAATAATTTATTTTGACATCGGTAATATGTTCTTCATCGAAAATTTTTTATAAGACATCGGCGTTTCAAGGTTGAAAAAAACTGCATTTTGTGAGTCACACTTACAAGCCCAAAATAAAATCTAATAACATGTAATTCATGTTAAGAAAGACAAATGTATACCTAATTAGGGTATGAATTGTTAAAAATTGTCAGCTTTAAATTCAATGTTTTTTCTAGATCTTTGTTCTAAAGAACATCAAAGTACAGGACATGTTTTCCAATAATTTAATTCAACAACAGCAACATCTAAAATTTCCAAACCCTGTATCGGTTGTTTTTTTATACAGTTTATAATTTTGGTAATAACAGAATAACCTTTAAGAAGTTATTCACAAAATCTCTAAACTGTATCAGATGAAAAGTCGTGAATTTTCCGTTGTAGATATAACTTGTTCAAACAGATAAATTTTACGCAAAAAAATAACTGCATTGTTTCAAATGTCAGTCTTTTGTCTTTTGCTAATTGTATTCTTAGTGGGATAGCTACAACAGTGTTCTGTTTGCCGATATCTGTTAGAATACGTTACATAGACAACGGGAAGTAATTACAAAAAAAATCATGTCCAACTCACAGCCCAATTTAAAGCCCAAATCACAACCCAGATGTTCGGTTTTGAAGTTTTGGTCTGGCTTCTTTAATTTGAACTTCAGAACCCATTGTAACTCGTAGGGCGTATGGCGAATTTAAATGAAAAATATTCAACTTTTTGATAGAAAATCGCCACTGTACTCAATGGTGGTTTCCCATGTAAATGTACAAATTTTTGTTTTCCGCGCAAATTTTTTTGACTCGTCGACCAAATTTTTTCAGGCAATAAACACTGGACATAATCAAACTTTTTTTCTCGCAAAAAAGCAGACTAAAAATATTCAAACTGCTTATTCAAACTAGCATTTGGTGTTAAGCTTGCTTTTCTTAGGTTCTAATTTGGGTTGTTTTCAGCAGCTTTTAGAACGTCTTTTTAAAATTTGGGTTATTATTTTTAATCCAGATGTTTATCGTTACTGTGGTCCGCTTCTAATTTTATACTAATTAGTTTCAAATGGTTTTCTAATGTCAATCGTTACGCCCGCACATGGAGAGTTTTCTATACAAGGTCTGAAATTCTTTTTTACTTACCTGAGCTGGTGCTTAGACCTGAAAATTGGTATTTCAGATTTTTGATTAGAATTTTGAAATTTCAGATCTGAAAACTGGGTCTGAATCAGAAAAATTCAGGTTTGAAATTGTCATGAAAAATATAAATTCAATTACAGATCTGTTATACCTGAGTGCTGAGTGGGTCTGAGACCTGAAAATTGGTATTTCAGATTTTTGATTAGAATCTTATTAGATCTTAGGAACTTCTTCTTCCTACTTTTTTCTTAAAAGCATTCATTTTGAGCAAACAATTGAGTTTTCCTTTTTTCTGTTTATGGAGCGTACAACTATATTGATTTTTCTTAGCGGTGACAAAAAAACTTAATTTGCACAAACAATTGGTTTCAAACAAAGTTTCTCAATTATTTTTTAAGAAAAAAATTCAAAAAACGTATTAACACCTATCAAACTTTTGATTTTCATGCGTTGCTCTCATGTTGCTTTCTCTCAGATAATTTATAGGGGTAGTCTCCGACCACATATTTTACCTACAACCTGCTTGTAGATAACAGAAGCTATAAAGTACAGAAGTAACTAAATAGCACAAATTGTGTCAGAGTCATTGATTTCTTCAGATCAGAAAAAACCAAGAAAAACAAAATTTCAGACCCCCCATTCTTAAAGCGGCAGCCGAAAATTAAAAAACGATTTGAGATCTACATTTTAGATCTGAACAAAAATATCTAAAAATTCTGAATTAGAACCACTTTACTAGGTACAGGCGAGCAATTTGTTGGTGTTTTTGTTTAAGAACTAAGCTCAATTTTACCGTGTTTAGTTCAAATACAGAAGTTTTGAAGATCTTCACAAACAAACAAAGTTTTGTACTTTTTAAGCGCTCGCGGTATAATGCGAATCAACAATCTGTTTTGTTAATTTCTATCGCCTCATTCATTTATATGCGTGCAAGATTTTTTCAAATGGGGGCTTAGAAATTCGATCAAAAAGACAAATATTTTTGACTCAATTCCGTGACAAAAATTTGCTATGCACTTATTGAAGAACTCTGATGACGCAATTTTGATGCAGTTAAAACTCGTCCGTTCCAAGATTTTGATCGCAATTAGTAGAAGTAGTGGTTTATTGAACTCTTCCCAAGGATAGTTTACTAACAAGTAAGTGACGACCACAAGGAAACTGATTAAGGGTGCCGGACATCAAGCTGATGGTATTTAAGCTTAATCTGAAACGTAGAAGCCAAATCTTATCTCAAAAAGTCTTGAAACTTGATAAGGATTCTCACAATGAATATCCACTTTTCATGATTTTTCTTTATTAGTATTTAGTTTTCTCAAAAAGTATGTGTCTCTAATTGATGTTTGATAGAGTTAAAAACTAAAAGAATGTTTAAAGCGTTTGTGGAATTTATAATTTAGGCATATTATATATCAAAACCCGGCTGTGTAACTAACAAATGCTTTTCTTAAGTGGTACATTGTCATGAATAACGCGTTTTATGGACTAAACACGCCTAAATTTTTAAAAATT